CTGCTTCTTATAAACATGAGCCCAGAAATTAAAATCCATTAAAAGGGGATGTCATTGAAAATATATAAAAATATTTCTAAATATATGGCAGACTTGTGGCCACCAATACTAAGCCCCTAATGCCATATCAGATGAGCGCCCGATTATATATCCGTACGCCTTATCCACACAAACGGTGTAACCAAAGGGTCTGCACATTATTACCGTTGGCTGTTGTCTAACAATATCTACCGTTTGCTGATTAATGCAATACCAGAATCAGATGCGATATACCAGAGCTTTCATACCATACCATACCATAGTATACTTACACACAGACACCAGGCCTTAATGCATGTGAAAAATTGAAACGATCGATAAAATGTTCTGCTTCTGTGACCAAAACTTTTTTTTTGTATTTTTGCGTTCACTATAGTTATAGTCATATACAGTGCTCACATACACACACATACATACACACAGTCACACACACACTCACACACCACACACACACTCTCATAGATAGTTATATATACAACAAAATCAGACAATGAATACACTATACACAACATGGTATATACACATAGTGTGTGTATATATTGCTCTAAATTTTGTTTTTGTTCATTTGCTATCAAACATGTATATAAACCCATAGACTGTATGTATGTTTAGTATAGTTAGTGCTCTATATTTCTATATTAAGAATATTATGCTTTTTATAGCGAAGTTTTTTTGAGGAAAATATAAATTTTCTCATATACTGTATTTTCAGTAGCCTTTTCTCCCCCAACACCACGACATTCATATTGTCTGCCAATGATATGAACAGTGAATTACGGGTGCAAAACAGGAAATAAGGCAAAACACATAACGAACAAAAAATATATACATTATAATAATCACAATTTTCTGTTCATTATATACAGGAATTATTGCCAATTTTATAGACAGTAGAAATTTTTTTCAGTCAATGTTTACAACGATTTTTAAAATATTAATTTTTCATTTTTTTTATATTTCTTTTATATTATTCCAGTTAATGGCAAGACATGTATTATTTCCTTCATTTTCAGTGTCCCCGCGACTGAACACTATTTGTCGTCAATTAATAGCTAATTAATTATATGTTTGACTTTTTTATTTGAATGACAACTGAAATCAAAAGTAAAAACAAAAATAAATAAATAAAAATAAGAAATCAAATCTTAGTCCATAGGAAACGTATGCATCGATTCGCTGTGTATAATACTAAACATAAAAAGCAAAAATTATTATTATTATCATTAAAACACATTGTTTTAAATGAGAAAAAAGAGAAGTTTTATTTTTTTTGGACAAAAATCAATTAAATATACATTTAATTATACATGGAATATGATTTTTGTTCTCATTATTTCATTATGATTATTATTATATTCATAATTTGTTGGTCTCCTTTCTTTCCGATGGGAGAGAGTGTACTGTTTTGCTGTTAATTATTATTCATAATTAAATATCATGTATTAACTTAACAATCAGTTATATTTATCATTAGAATTAAATATATATTTATAATAATATAATAATAATATCTAATTAACATTTAATTTTCATTGTTTTTAATATCGATTTATTTTTATTTTCAATCAAAAAAAGACAAATTTCTTCATTTATTCATAACTTGTATATACATTACAATAGTTTTGTTTCTCATCCAAATTAGTTTAAAATTTAATTACAATTTTTTAAATATATATTTATTTATATATTTTGGGAGAGAAAAAAATGTCATTTCTGTTGAGCAGTTGAAGACATTGATAGAGAATTTCAACAAACATTTTACATTACAAACGAAAAACTAATGAACAAAATATATAAATGCCGTCAAAATTCTCTCTCAAAACTTCATTAAAATTAAAACTTAAAATTTTTATTAAAAATTTGGTTCAAAAAATGGTTTTTCTCCATTCGTTCACTCATTCATTATATTTAATACATTTTTTTCGTTTAAAACAAATTTATTTTAGTTTAAAAAAATTATGTAATATTATTGCGAAATCAATCGGTGTTTTGCACTTTTTAGCTAAAATACATACACTTTCTCTCTTTGTATGTATACTCTGTCGCCCCTCTCATAGCCATGAATAAAAAGCTCTGTTTTTTAGGTTATAATACTTTTAATACATGTATAAAAAGTGGTATATATTTTGTTGTTTCACTTTTTAGTGTTTTTACTTTTTGGATATTACAGTATATTTCTTGAGCTGTCATTTGAAATGAATTGAATGAATGCTCCGAATCTATGGTATAAAATATATAGTATATTGAGTGAGTGGTTGTGCCCACACATATTTGTTGGCTGCCGTTTACAGCAATTTATTTTTTATTCACGCAAAGGTGGCCAATGGGTGGGTTGGGAGAGGATATGTCGGGCGCACACACATGTATGTGTGCACACACTCACAAACCCCCTCATTGTTATCGGGCAAAAAACACTACACACTCGGCATATATCATATACAGACACAACATCCACACTAACCCATCCCTCCATTAAAGCCCATACCATATCTCAAAACCCATGAGATTTCCTAACCTAAAAATAAAGTGTCACACAAATGGGTTGAGTGTTGTGTTGTATTTATGGCCCGATAGTGCACTCGTATAGTGTATTCTGTATACTAGTCTCGGATCGGATTTGATTACATATAGAGACATACATCCCATACCTTCTCAATATGTGTTTTTGTCTACAGTATATTAGCTCTGGTGGTGAACATAGGGAGGGGTGGGTTGATATCAGATGGTATACCCCAATGCAAGTTATGTATATTTATATGCAATATTATGGTTGGGTTTGTTTGGATCCGAAATATATTTTTCATTACAAAAAGTATTTGATTTTTTAAAACCAAATAATAATTGCAATTTTTATAAATATATTTAATTCTGTCATAAAAAGATCGCAACACATATACACAGTGTGTATACATATGGGCTGTTCGTCAGTGGAAACTCATGTGGATTTTTAAAGCGAAATGAGTTTTTTACTTGTTATTTCAATCTCTCATTTTCTCCCATTTTATATATACAGTATTTTGGTTCCCTTTTCTCTTCTTCTTCTGCCTCTCATTCATATATGTCTTTTAAAATAAAATATGATTTTCTGATACATATGTTAAGTAACAAAATGCATGGTTTTAGTTATGATTTCCACTCAATCTTGTTTTTATGACTTTATATCCCAAGTATTAAATACGGTATACAATAGTCTATGTAATGAAAAGTGGGCTAATTCTCAGTGCATTTCTTTCTCTCACACATGAATTTAGTTGTATTTTCATTATATAACTTATATATAAAAGTTATATTTACTTCTCTCGCCATAATCCGAGACATTTCTGACTGCCTTTTGTTATGAAATACTGGTAATAATGTTCAGCCCTGAATAGTGTACACACAATACACACACAACTACTCTATATGTTATGCATTGCATAAAAATTTATGGTTTTAATGACTTGAAAAAAGCAATTTTTATGCAATTTTTTCGACTACCAATAGAGAGTGTATGGTATTTAGTGTACAGCAGTTTGTTGTGCAATACACTACACGTATATCGTGTGTACACTATATACGAGTTCACTGTATATACTTTAGATATGGCAAATGCAAAATAAGCAACATTATTTAAATAAATTCATTATGAGTTTTTGGTAAAATGTTTTATATTATGGCTAAACACATATAAAAAGCATTTGTCGTTAAAATTTGTGTTTTTCCTAATTATATTTCTTATGGTTTTAATATTGAATTTTGAAAAATGAATTATGTTTTACTTTTTTGTAAAATAAATAGCAAATATTCGCTAATTCTTTTGTGTGGCAAAAAATAAGTTATTTTTGTTTTATTATATAAAACCCATGTATAGAAAAGTAGACAAATACTGCTCAGAATCCTTTCATATATCTATCTAATCAGTGAAACACAAAATGAAACAAAAATTTTCATAATAAGAGAGAGAGAGAGAGAGAGAGAGAGAGAGAGACTTATGACAACAACTCGTATATATACAGTATATTGTGAACAAACATTGAAATTACAAAAACATATATTCTCTTGATTTTTCATACGTAAAGTCAAATAATAATAGTCTCATTTTTATTATATAAAACCCATGTATAGAAAAGTAGACAAATACTGCTCAGAATCCTTTCATATATCTATCTAATCAGTGAAACACAAAATGAAACAAAAATTTTCATAATAAGAGAGAGAGAGAGAGACTTATGACAACAACTCGTATATATACAGTATATTGTGAACAAACATTGAAATTACAAAAACATATATTCTCTTGATTTTTCATACGTAAAGTCAAATAATAATAGTCTCATAAAATTTTTTCGTTCACTATATTATGTTTTTTGATATTTAATTTCGATTTCAAAGCCCATATCAATTCATTCAATACACACACCGTATGTATTAATAACTCTATTCTTGTTATACAGACAACACATATATCAATGAGAAAGTTATGATAGGGACGAGCCATTCAGTCATTCAATCAGTCAATCAGTAGTTTATATGGTATTCATAAAGAAATATACTGTTATATACTGTATATGTATGGCAGAGAGCAAAAAAGTGAGGGTTTTCTCATTTCAATTGTAACAAAACAGAGAGAAAAGTTCGCATGAAATTTCATATTTACTCAAATATTTCTGGCATTTGTGTTATAAAATCATATAAAAAACAACCGATAAAAACAAAAACTTATTGTTTCATTGCCTATTCGTATTACACAATCCTCGAGCGCTGTATTAAACTTATACTTTAGTTGTATTTCTTTGTCATTCAATTAATATTAAATAATATTAACATTCAATTTCACTAAACAAGTGGAGATAAAATCCAAAAATATATAATATATACCGCATATAACTTATTATAGTTGGCGTTTTAAAACGATTTGTGTTGTTTTGTTTGGGAGGCTGTCGATGAAGCCCCGGCCGGTGGCCGACGGGCGCCGGGTATTAGCATTGATTACTCGATTGATTGCTATTACTGCTGATCTGTTGGTCCTTTTGCCAGAGCTTGAGGTTGAGGTTAAGGTTAGGTAATTGCATGATCTTCTCGAGACCGACGGTACTGATGAGTGAACACCCGTAGAGATCAATGTTCGTTAAATTGACTAAATGTTGGCCAATGGCGCACAGGCCCTTATCGGTGATCTTATTACACTGGCCGAGATTGAGCACTCGCAGGCACGACAGTGTCCTCGAGATCTTGATCACACCCTCGTCGGTGATTCCGGAGCACGCGTTCAGACTCAGACTCCTCAGATGGATCAGCTTCTGCGAGATGTGCACTAATCCCGGGTCACCGATCTTATCACTGCTGAACGACACGTCGAGCACCTGTAGGTTGCGTACGGAGCCGTCCGAGAGGTGTGCGAGACCGGTGTCGGTGATGTTGTCACAGCTGCGAAGATTGATGTCTCGCAAGTTGGACATCGAGGACAGGTGTTTGAGACCGAAGTCAGTGATGGACGAACAGAAGCTCAGATTCACGGCATGCAAGTGACACAACGCCGTCGAGATGTGCCGCAGCGAGTCGTCGGTAATCTTCTGGCAGTCCTGAAGGCCGAGGAACTCCAGTGTGAAGAGTCCGGCGCCGGCCAGCGTTGTCTCCTGTGTGGCGCCTGCGATGTGTCCGATCCCGACGTCCGACACGTGCCGACAGCTCCGGAGGTTTAGATACTTGAGTCGCTTTAACTCCATCGACAGCTCCAGTAGACCAGTGTTGGTGATGTTGGAGCACCCGCTGAGGTCCAGGTGTTCCAGATTTTTGAGGTGATCGCCGATCCTCTCGAGACTGTGATCGGTAATGGGTTTACACATACTTAGGTTCAGTTCTGTCAGACTGTTCATCCGATGGGTGAGAGCGCTGGTCAGCCACTCGTCCGTCAGATTATAGCACCCGATTAGGTTCAGACTCTCCAGTTTTGGCACTCCGACCACCACTTCCCGCACCGATCGGCGAATACTCAACAGCTGTTTGTCATTTTGTAATAGGAAAAAGAGATAATGGTTTTTAATAATGGCTTAGAAAATAGGCGTATAGTTTGTGTGGGGAAACAATATGTGTGTGTATTTTTTTGAGGGTAAAATTGCGTTTTTAATAAGTTTTTCCCGCATTAAAAGTGCCTATTATTAGAAAAAAGTATATGTATTTTAGACTCTGTTTTTAGCCCGTTTTCACATGTAATGTGTGCCTATTTTTTTCATTGACGTACAGTATTATTGAAATAAGAAATTATAATCATATGAGGAAATGTGTGGAGAAAAACACAGAGAAAAAATACTTTCACTCAACTTTCTTCTCCTATGAGCTCTTATTTATTGCTTTTAACGAAAGAGAAAAAAACAAAAGTATAAGTAATGGTCTCCTAATGTCTATATTCTCTCTCGTTCTCTCTCTCTCTCTCTCTCTCTCTCTCTCAAACAATATATATTGTATAGCTATATATCTGTCTATAATTACAGTATATATCCATAAATATATATAAAAATAAGAAGAAAAAACTTATGTTTAATAAGTAATGCTTAAGAACGCGATTCACACCGTCTGTCAGTAATAACAATAATAAAAATAAATTTTTATGTCTTTCGATGTATGAGTTATAACTCGAGCGCGAAGTTAGAGCGAGAGAGAGAGAGAGAGAGAGAGAGAGAGAGAGAATAAGAAATGCCTAACTTATCATATCATATAAACGTATGCCATAGAAGTATATCTACGAAAAGTAATATTTATATTGCACTCGAGAATAAAAAATATAAGTAAAATACAAAATTCATTTTTGTTTTTCACTTTAGTTTCACTGCAAAAAACAACAACAAAAACAACAAAATTCCTATTCCTATGCTATTTCTCTCCCAAATATTTCTGCATTTCTCTCTCTCACGACTGAATGGCAAAAATATATATAACGAAATGTAAATATAATATACAACTCATGATTAACGCAGAGAATTATGTGTTGTTTTGTTTGAATATAATTTTTCGTATATCAAGTGAATAGCAAAAAATAAGTTTTCTAAAATAATAACATAGAAAATCAAAACAATATTTATGAATATACATGTAGACAGACTTTTGACAAACTTGCTCTCTCTCTCTCTCTCTCTCTCTCTCTCTCTCAAACAATATATATTGTATAGCTATATATCTGTCTATAATTACAGTATATATCCATAAATATATATATCTCTCTCTCTCTCTCTCTCTCTCTCTCTCGCTGTCAGACATTAATATTATTTATAATTTTAAAAAACAATAAAAACTAATATATAAAATATGTGATATTATTTATGACTATTTTAAGAATTAGTTTCCGTCTCAAAGACACAAATTCTCAGTCATTTTGTTTTGGGTTTTTTTCTCACACCATATAAGAGTCAGACGGAAATACAAGGTATTAATGAATTGAAAACGATTGGTAAAAATAACCGGGAGGTGCGGAGCAAAGGGGCAAATGATAGGTATAGTGTTATCAGTGTATGTACTATATGTGATAGATGTTGGTGTAGATGCAGGGGTTGGGCAGTGAGGGGAATGGGTCTGAAAAAGTACCTGAATTTTTTTAATGCCCCGCCGGACGAGACTATCGAAGAGGGCGTTATGGAGGCCACAGTCCTGGGCGTTGGCCGGACACCGGTCGCAGTGTCTCAGATGTATGGCCGCCTCCACGCCCTTCCACACCGACTTGTGATAACAGGCGTCCCTCCAGGAGCTGCACACCCGGGCGGCCGACCCCTTATCCTTAACGTCCAAATGGCCAAAAATCAGTGCCAATATCTCCGGATAGAGGCACGAGATGTGAGCCGTCGGCCGGTTGTGCCAAATCACACACTTCTGGTGCCGTTTACTCATTGTTTTACACCAAACACTCACAGCACTAGTGGTCTCTATTTTGGATTTGGGTATCGCTTTTGGGTTCAGATATTAATGATTTGCGAGTGAATTGTCGCCCAAATTATTATTATTTTTGTATTTCACTGTATTTTCATATATATTCACGTATTTCTTGTGTTGGAAAATAACTTTATGGCAAAAAACCACACGTGAAATGGTATATGAACTTTGCTGATATTTTAATCTCGATGGTTTGTGTGTTATGTCAATACCATATCTGTATATGTTTTACGAAACATTGTTATTATTAATAATATTATAGCAGTTATTATGAATACACTCTTCTGTATACCCATAAGAGATAGTAATTGTATTATAATTTATATTTTAGTTTAAAATTTTCTTCATTCGTGAAACACATACACAATAAAAAACAATTTTTTACTTTATTATTACTTATTTTCCACTTCTCTTCACTTTGTTTTGCACTAAAAAAAACTCAAAACGAGAAAACTTTTCGAAACGAGAAAAATATTTTTCAAAACTTCTTCGAAACAGAATTTATTAATTATTTTTGTCGTCTATTATATGAGAAACACGTGAAGAATGTCTGTCTCTCTTGCGATCTCTCTTTCACGTTGACTGAAGAGGAATGAAGAGAGAGAATGAGAGAGAATGGGAGAGTATGTATGAGAGGAGAGCCCCTAAAAACCAATGGTTGATATCACGCCTCTTCTTCTTCGCTATCACTCTCTCAGAGATATATCTGTTGTGCTGTTTGTGAACCAAACATGCATTGCGTTCGCCAATGAGATATACTATTAAATGCAAGCCTTATATTATATACACTATCAGACAAACACATAGCACTCGCACACACACTGGTGCTGCCACTCTTGTATGCTGTATAGCCAATGCATAGGGCTTTTGAGTGCTATTTTTCAGCTCAAAACTTGCCTCTCTCTCTCCTATTTCTTCTATCTCTCTTTGAAATGCATGTTATACTCCGCACACATACTATACACACTCTCTCTCCCGTCTAATAGTGAGCTCGTCTAAGCCCTTGAGGGCACAGTTGCCGTACACTTAACACAGCGCTCTGCGTATCGCCGTATCGCTGGTCCCCAGTGTTGTGCCTAAGGCTGTAATATTTAACTAAAGTATACTTTGCTGTCACATATTTTTGTGAATTTTTGTTGAATATTGAGTTTTTGGCTAAATTTGATCCGTTTTATCGACTTATTCTATCGTTTTCTATGGAATATTTAATATATTTCATGCCATACCTAATAGTTATTATAATTTGTTTTATTCCCTTAATGTTATATCAAGAATATTTCTTATTGTTAGTAATATTCACACTATTTATCTAAAAATATAGTTTATATAATATTTATTAATACCTTACGCCTAATATTCACGTTTTTGATATATAAATACAATATTACATTGCTTATTTTATAAAATATTAATTTATTAATGTAATATTACTAATAGTTAATTAAATATTTGTTAAACTCGTTTTAATTTTAGAATTATTAAAATATCAAGTCATAATTTTAACAGTTGTAGTAATATTACTGTACATAAACATATTACTATCCTTGCATATAACATGTAACATATTACGTAAAAGAATTACGTTACTATAAAATAATTTATACCTTTCTCATTTATCACAAAATAAAATTTACAACAAACAGGGTCTTTAACATATATTTCAAATTGACCTTGTTTACAAATCTAATAAAATTGCTGTTCAATCATAATTTATTGTAATAATAATGATGATGCTAAAAATTTTATAAATAATGTTTAAATGTTTTGCGAGAATAGTGGTTGACTGTCAGCCCTACATGTGCTGCCGGTGCAGACATTACATTACATGGCATACAGTGTACAGAATGCATGATAACTGGCGATAGTATTGTATACTGTAGTGATGTGTATGTATTCTCTGAACGCCAGCACCACTGCCATCGTTGCCAATACTCTCGCTCTCCCTCTACAGTACACTAACGAGCGATTCGTGTATTAGATTTCCTTTCGTATGATGTGTTTTATATATACCATACCATGCATTCTCTCTCTCTCTCTCTCTCTAGATCAAGAAAGTGCATGTATTAGCTTCCACTGTATTGCACATAAACCTAATGTACTAAATGTGTTATCGATATTAAATATGAATCATTACGTATTAATTTCTACACGTGATAGA